CCAAAATACTACAAATTTATAGCTTCCTTTCTCCTCCTCCACAGATTTCCAGTGAACACCTGTATCTTTAAATCTCATATGCTTGAATTGCTAATTTAGTCCACCAGCTACATTGCATCACACCAGCAGTGAGCTGTGAAGGTGCAAAAGGTGCACATTTCATATCCCACGCCACCTGGGTCAAGTTCTGATGAACTTCAGTAAGAAACAGTGTTAGTGCCAGGGCCACGAGCAGCAGCTCGGGCTCCCCACATGGCACATAACCAGGAAGCATTTGCTACCACCACTTCGGTTCATAACCTAGGAACTCGTGCTTATCTGGAGAGAGCACAGAACAACATAGCAATGAACACTTTTTCCCCAGAGGGAAAAGGCTGCAGGTAAAAAGCATTTGTTTTTCAACTCTTGCAATTCAGAAACATAGTAATTTACAGAGGGATTGCTTCCTGCTCGGGAGGAAAGCTTTCCCCATGCTTTATTCTGACCCAGCAGGAAGCAAATTTATTGTTGGAAGAGAAAGGTAGGTCACCTTTTGCCTGTATGTATGTGCAAATGTACCTGGGCATAAGAGACAGATGCACTTGAGTGGTGCACTACCACCCTGCCTTGTGGTTGAGTCTCCTGAAATGTATTACCTTCTATACGCCATTCAATACTTAGTCATTCTTCCCATCTTCATCAAACAAAACATCCCTTCTGCTTTCAGACCCCCGCCATCATCAATGCAGGAGTGCTTAATAGGCTACGAACAGCAAAAACAGCTGTGCTGCACACATGCATCTCTCTCTCCAGCTTCAGTGTGTCTGAAAATACGAACAGATCATCAGATTCATCTTAGAGCTCTGTCACACAGCAATTGAAGATGGATGAGCATCCAGCTCCGATCCCAGAGGTAACTTCTTGATGCTTCAGTCTGAACATAACCACTGTTTTACTAGCGAAGGCCATACACAAGTCCAATAGTCTGCCAGTACAAGTAAAGGAAAAATAAAATTCCTTAAAAATGAGAGTATATACAACTCCTCCCATTGATCAGAAATACTGTCCTCGTGTCCACTCAACTTAATATTCTTGAACAAATGAGGCAGCCTGCTGTTTAATGTAAAGCCTGCCAGCAAGCCTGCTATTAAGATGAAAGTAAAAAAAAAAGAGGCACGTATGGAAGACTTATCTGGGGAGATTTATATTCTCCACAACCCAAGAGTGACAGCGTAATGCTTCTTACAGTGAGAGAACTCAATCAGTGGAGGTGTTTCTAAAAACAGTGTGCTATTTAAATGTAGAACATGGAGAATGCTTTATGGTCCAATTTGGCCTAAACGGACCCATTTATTTTAGATACAAAACCACTGGACATTACTAATGCTAAGTAGTACGAAGCTGGTATGCCTGCAGGGGGAAATGGATGCAAAACATATCCAGTGTCTCTGATAAAACATGAAGCTGTTCTCTCCAATACCTGCATTATCCGTCTGGGTAACGTGCACCCAAACCACCTCAGTCAACTACTGGCATGGAGCCACCTATTGCTATCTCAGCTGCTTTCCATTCATATTTATTTGAATATTATATTAACGCAATCACAAACACTTTGCTATCTGTATTCATTTTCCCGTTCATTTCAAGTTACTGCTAAAGCAGCCACTGCTTTATATGACAAATTACAGGTTAATTTGGGGGTTGGAAAGCTTCCAGAACCTTGGCAGCAACACTTCTCCAGTTTAAGCATCATCCACTGTACGCCCTGCAAATCCACCAAGCTTATTCTGGATCATTCTTCTGATAGGAAATTGCCAAGTTTGCACCTCAGCTCATTTAATTTGCTAATGAAATCCAATCTCCCCTCAAAAAGAAGACATTTTTTAGAGGACACAACCAAGCTTAGCAGTGTGAATATGGTAAAAGCATAACAAAACCAAGACCACCCCTAACTTTAAGGGCTGAGCCCAGCAATTTTACTTTAAACACTTGCTATTCAGAACATTCACCTGCACATGTCATTAGCAGGGTAGTATTACCTGTGCTGTTAGCCTGTGCTGTGCTGAAGCCCTGTTAGGGCTTCAGGTCCATCTCCACACCAGTGTGGTGTGCCACGTTAACAACAAACCCCACACCCACAACTCCATCCTCTCCCAGTCCCTCACTCCCCTCGACCCCAAAACCAAACAGTTCAACTCACATCTCTGCTGACAGTTCCTCATTCTGCAGTGCTACCTCGTGCTTAAACAAGAGGTACTTTAACAATGAAAATGGGACAGATTCAAGAACTGGACAAACCAGACCCTATTCCTCTCGGATCAAATCACATTACAGTCCAAAAAGGCAGTATGTTCATCTGCTTTATTATAAAATTACGTTCCACTCTTTCAATGGAAAAGACAAACTCACGCCTACAGACCAACTCAAGACCTACAGCAAATAACGAAGGAACAGTGGAGTAAAAGAACATGCTGCAGAGTTTACCAGCACCATATATTCTCACACAGAATAATTAAAATGATGATTGCAGGCATATCCATAGCTCAAACTTATTGCACTGCCAAACACAATGGAAATGGCTCACTGCAAATCATTGTTTGCCTGCAGTCCTTCAGCTGCTGCTCAAGTCTTCACAGAACAGTTGAACTGCAATCCGTAAGTAATCCGGTAGCTATTGATTTGTAAGTAAAATGTGTCACAGCACAATTTAGTATCTGCAGTTTCATGCAATCACTTGAGTGCTTTGAAAATGCATAAGAGAATGTCATGGTGACATTTTTAATGCTGCCTGAATGCTTATGTCGAGCGTCCAGAAAAAAAAAAGGCCAAGCAAAGGAAAGGGTTTAAGCAAATGGAAGCACAGCTCAGTCGACTCAAACCATAAAGAACTTCCCTGCATTATGTACAGTGCTACAACATAAGGATGCTTTTCCTCTGAGCCTGAAGTGTCATGAGCTGATTCAAGCAAGAATCACTTGGGAGGCCATCAGAACTTGTTTGCTAGAGATTTCTAAGACAACGCTGTCTAAAGCATTGTATTGCAACATCTCAAACATTTTCACATCAAAAAAAAAAAAGCCAAAGCTGCTAAAGATAGATTTTTGTTCTCAGAAGAGCAAAACGCGTAGCTCAGAAGCTCGCAGTCAGGAAGGTGGCTCGCAGCCGCCCAGGAAAGCTCATCTCTCCTGCTAGAAATGTCTGTACTTCTTTATTGATTTAAAGCAGGCTTTATTGTGAGTCATAACACAAGCTGCCAAGTAAAACACTGACTTCTTTAAAAATATGAATCAATGAGGCTTCTTCACATTCAGCTGCTTCCAAATACCATTATTACTTTTATGTTTGGGATTACAAAAAGAATTTGCTCCAGAGAGTTCTGCAGCAGGCCGATGAGCTTTACAGTTAAATCAATTTAACTGCACGTTAAGCAAACATGAATATGGAGATGGCTGAAACACAGAGCTGTAGGCAATTCACGTGAAAGACATCTGCGAGCTGCTAGAAGACACTGCTCTGCAGTGTGCCTAAGAAACCATTGCAAAACCTCTGTGTGCAGAAGCAAGAATGTCAGCGTGAATGGTACCGGGGGAGAAAGAGAGTAACGTGCTAAGGAAAAGTTTCAGTTTGGTACAATCGTATTCATTAGCATCACATCTGTCAGTTACAGCAATGCAGCACAACCCGCAGCAGCATGCTGAGCAAGCCAAGGGTCACAACGTCGCTGTGCAGAACGTCTCACCGTGGTACCAGTGGTACCAGTGTCACACAGCACTCGGTCCCCGGGCCTCCAAGTGCCTCCTGTGGGATGCTGAGCTGCTCGAGCACTTCTGCTCCACGCTTGGCTGCTAATCCTAGCTGCAGAGCTACGCTCTTAGAGCTTGTTCTGGAGCTCCCTCTCGAGGCTCAATGCTGAACCATATTAATATGCAATATACTCCTGATTCTACTCTAAATCCTTGCAAAGGAAAGGTTATCAAAAGTGTCTCCTCAAAGCTCTGCACACGAGCTTGTAGAAAGCACCAGAGCTTTTGAGTTATGTGCATTCTTAAAAAGAAGATGAGGAAATAAGCACCTATTAAGCACACAGATCAACTGCAGCACTGTTGCTTTGCTGACACAGCTTTGATAGCCACCGCAGGAGCTCCACAGATAATGCCTCTGCTATTGTAAATCATGAAACAGAACAGCACAGACTGTTTCTATTTGTGCAGAAATAGTAACTTCATTTGATATAGAGGTGCTAACACATCCTGTTCTCTTTCGCTGAGTTTTAAAGTCCTCTCAGCATCCATCTGCCTCCCGCTGGTCACCTCACTCCACAAACACCCAACAGCATTACTCCCCTGGCTCTGCTGCATGGGCTGCCATTTCTAATCCATTTCTAAAGCACTGAAACGGTGTTTGCTAAAGCCTGCAAAAACCTTGGAGCAGGTTGTGCTGAAGCTTCATCTGTTAGGAGAAAGCAGTGTCCCCTCACAAACCCTAGAGTGCACCCACATACAAAAAGGATTCAACGCAAAATTGACCATTGATTGCACCCATCTGTGACCTCAAGAGTCTAAGGCAGAGGTGATTGCCAACTCTGTGGGCACAGACTTCTATGAGAATTCATAATTGACAAAATTTTTTTCCTTCTACTCGTAGTTTGCCAAGGAGATTCATTCTCCTTACCAGCTTTTCATTTAAATAAACACTTTCAACTCTTCCCCAGCTCATGCTCTGAGGTCTTGCACAGACTATCAGCTATCAACATGGCATCATTTTAAATCTTACACCTTGTGATAAGTCTCATCAAGCTTTTCTCTACTGGGGTGAAACAAATTTCAACTTGAGTGCCTCGGTTTGTTCAAGTGTCCCTGCTAACAAAAGTAACTTTAAGAAAATGAGCAAATGCTAGAGATGCCAGCTCGTCACACTGCATGTCCTGCTGCCTTTGAAACGTGTAAGCTATCTGTTGCTGTAAGTGTGGCCCTTCATTCACTGTGTCAGTAATTCTGCTCAAGTTAAAGATGCGTTCTTACTTTTCATGGTGCCCTCCTCCTCTTCATCTTCGGTGTTTATGACCATTGTACCCAACTGGGATTCCAAGGTGCCATCGTGTTCTATCATGGTGTTGGCTCCATCGCTCATTGTGTTGACCACTCTGATGGTACCAGTTTCATCTCCACTTGCCCTCACCATGGTACCTGAATCAGTTTCATCTTCCTCCTGTACAGAGATACCAACAGCACATTTTTACTGATGGTGGTGAGGTCCAATGAAAAGTGGCTGCATTCAAGGACACTGGAAAATCCTGTTAACTCAGAGATCTTGACAGACACAGACAGAAACCAGCAGCAGTTTGTTTTATGCCCTTAGATCTCTCCCTGATATCTCCAAATGAGTAAGGAAAGCTCTTCATACTGCCAAAGTGTGAAATAAAAACAGAAACAATCACTGGAAGTTTCTCAACTGAACCAGCATCTCATTGCTGACCTGGTGAGCCAGCCCTAGACAGATTGCAATACTCATTCAGACATCAACATTCCTATTCGCTCTGCCAGTGGTAACAGCTGATCTAAAACCCTGTCTTAAGTGATACAGTTCACCAAGGAGGTATTAATTACAAAACTGCAATAGTCCTCAGTCTGTATTTTGTGTGGCAGACCAAAGAAAAGCCATTACCCTCCATTTTAGAAGTCTGCTTTCAACATTTAGGTCATTTTATTTCTATAAAATTCAGAAGCACTGAAGAAAACTGAACCAAGAAGGAACTAAACTATCAAAACCTAATCATTTTTTGTTTCAGATGAAAACTATTTCTTACCCTACCATTTATTAAGGTGTATCAGTATTGCAGAAATTGAATTATCGCTGCCAAAATTCAAGTGGCAGAACCTGCAGGAAAAGAAACTTCTGAAACAAGTTGTAGTAGTAGTGAAGAGCGAGGTCAGAATGACTACGATCTACTTAGTTTACCAGCAATGTGCAGCTGAACAACAGAAATTCCTAGGCTTACAGCAGTGGTACTTATTAAATCCAGTAGAACAAATTTCTGGACATCTCATCTTGAAAATATTAAAAAAAATAAAGCTCATATTTTGGTTTGAGAATTAAGTTCACAGTTCTTTAACCTATGTGCAAACATGGCCTTACTGATCTGAATTACTGATAGAGGGAAAACAGTGTTACAGCTTGCAGACCTATCTCTATGTCACTGGCAGAAGGAAGATCCTTTTCACATTCTGGTGTTCTATGCATTTCCTTTGCTCTGCTAAGCATGTCGATATAAATGCATCTCCCAATCTCAAAGCCAACAGCACGAGGAGGGAAAGACTCCATAAGAAGCTAATAGCAGTATGTTTTATGTGGAGATGAGTGGGTGAGAGGAAGTAGCAAATTCCTTCGCTACACATCATTTAACAAAGAACTACTGCAGATATTTCCACAGCACTTTGAAAGCACTTGAGAACACTTTTCTGCTAGCAGACACAGAGTACAGAAGCTTCAGGAAAACAAACAGGCCCAGAGAGAGACCGCTCAGCTCCTCTACAGAGACGCCATCTCTCTGCACCCCAGAAACAAACGAGAGACAGTTGGGACAATACTCTTCAGGTCAACATCATGGCAACAGAACCAATAAAATTACTTCCACGCTGAATAAATATGCAGTCCTAAGCTGGAAAACTAGATTAACAGCATACATCTTTTTTACTGTGCAACACACTCCTCGTGTCCAACCTCTGGAAAGGACTGTGGCACACAGTGCCTTTTGCTGCCTGTGTCATTTATTCAGGTTGAAGCAAGCAGAGGCTCACGAGACAGCTTTCAACATGCTTTCCATATTCACATGCTGTAATCACTGGAACAAGGCACCCAGGACAGAAATTCACAGCAATCCCCTGCACACTTGTCATGCCCTCACCTCAGACTTCTGGCGGTTGCTCTTGTGTAGTACAAAGTTTCTATAAGGGGTGTTCTAAAGCACAACAACAGTGAAACAACATAACACACTTATATCATAGTGCATCACAGATATTCGTTTGTATTGACAGCAACAGAAGATCTGACTCTACAGTGAAACATTCTCATTGCTGCATAAATAATATTATCCAATTAGAAACCCGTACTGAGTCTTTAGCATGTGCTACTACACACTCACAGCCAATGGCAGGTCTTAGCTACACTTTGAGCTAAATACAAAGTCATAATTGCTGACTGCTCCATTCAAACACAAAGGCAGAGCAGAGCTCAAATATCAAGTTAAGCAGCCATAAGTACAAAACTCTAGAGCTACGTAAAACCTTTGAGCAGTTAAACAAAATATTACAAAAATAAGGACCAAAGCAGCTTAGCGTTATGCAAGGTCCAGGAGTCTGAACTCTGTATGCTGTAGCAATGAAATACTCACTGAATTTTCTTCATCTTCTTGATCCAGCTCACGCTGTTGTGCCTCCTGGCGTTTCAGTTTGATATCCATCGCTTCGTTAATCAAATCGCGCAGAATTGATGCTCCTTTGGCACTTTTAACAAATGGGTGCTGTGTAGTATGTTAAAGTTAGTAAGCACTGCACCTGAACCAGCACCTGACAGTAAAACACTGTTACTGTGGCCCATTTCCAATCAAAACTGATGATTAATTCAATCCCTTGCTAAAAACAGAACAAAACAAAAAACCTTCTGCATTGTGCAGGAGGGAGACCTGTCTGCAGACAAGATCACAATGAAGGCACCACTGCTGTGACACCTGGGCTCATTCCCTACCCACAAGCCCCACTTACTTCTCACCAACTGAACTGTCAACAACCAACTACAAATGCATACATCATTCTGAGCAGTTACTTTCACTTAGAATCATAGAATGGCTTAGGTTGGAGGAGACCTTAAAGTTCATCTAGTTGCTTTCTGGTGGTTTAAGAGACAGGTACTTGGCATTGCTGGTGAGAATCTGAAGGATAAAAAAAAAAAAGAAAAAAAAAAAACCAAAAAAAAACAAAAAAAAAAACACCAAAAAAAACATCCACAAAGATAGGAAGAAGAAATCAGATCAGATCTTAAGGAAGAACTGAAAGGCTGAAGTTGGGTACAAGGCTTTAAATCAGCTATTAGAGAGTGAAATTTGTAATGAGAAGGATAACCCAAGAAATGACAACAGCCCAAGGGGCACAGCACTGCCTGCACTACAGCAAGCCTGCTCTAGAGTTCACGCTCTCCCAAGACGAGGCAGACCTGCAGAAGCTGTGTTGCAGTAGCACGCTGCTCAGGGCTCTTGACAAGACACTGCTTCACGAAGTCTGTGAAAGCATCCGACCAGAGCTCTGGTTTCCGAAACGTTGGAGGCGGATTGGTAGGAATCATGAAAATTGCCTAAAAACAGAAGAATATGCCAGGTTTCCAAACCAAGTTTAAAATCTCCTCACATAAATACATAAAAACATATACAGGCACTAAAGAATGATACATGCTTCAAGTTTGCTGCTTCAGAAGAGTCTCTACCAATATTTTATATATTAAACTGCGCAGAGGGAGGATAGAGCAACAAATCAGACTTTTCTGACTAGGAGCTTACACGTCTGTCTGAGCCATTAGCTGCACCAAGAGGTGTGAATCTGCCATTTTAAAGTCTTAAAAATATGTGCTGGTTTGAAAACAAAAAAAAAACATTTTGTATAATGCACAGCATAAAATATATTTCTTCACACTCAACACTGGAAGACTCAGCCGTGCCTTGATAGATGAGGATCACGATTTTCCTTCTCCATTTTACATTTAATCAACAGTACAACAAAGTGACAGAAAGCAAATCATTTTCTCTAAATCATACACAAGAGGGCATCTTGATACGTCACTCATCCAGCTGTCGTAGCAAATCACAGATTTTGCATCGCAATACATTTTAAAAAGTCACAGTCCTCACCCTCATAGGATGAATATCTGCATATGGTGGTTTGCCTTCAGCCATTTCTATTGCAGTGATTCCCAGTGACCAGATGTCTGCAACACAATTGTATCCAATCTCTTGAATCACTTCTGGAGCCATCCAAAACGGGGTCCCTATAACTGTGTTCCGTTTTGCCATGGTATCCTGAAAAGAAGAGCAGGATAAAAATCCAGACCATGGCAACTGTTATTAGCCACAAATATTCATTAACGATTTACAATCTTAATTATCTTCCATCTGCACATGTATATACTACCAGGTTAAGCAAGACAAAGATATGGAAAGCTGCAGAGAGAAACTGAAATATGCTGCAGACATTAGACACGAACTGAAGCAAACAGCAAATGTTATTACAAACCATTACTTAGGTCTAACAGCTCCCACAGAGGAAGCCGTGCTGCTGTCATAGTGTCTCACTATGTTGATGTAAAGTGCTGAAAACACTTCTGAATGTCTCAAAGTCTCCACAAGCACATGACATTAGAAAGAAGACCAGAGGGGTACATAACCATCTTGGTTTTACTTACTGTGAGTTGTCCTGCCACTCCAAAATCTGCAAGCTTAGCATGTCCCTCTGTATTTAGCAATATATTTCCAGCTTTGATATCTCTATGTATTTTCCTCATAAAATGCAGGTACTCCAGCCCTTTCAGCGTTGATTGTACTATCGTAGCAATTTCCTCCTCTGTAAGCTAAAAAGAAGCGTTACTGTCAACCTCTCGGTTTCTGAGATGGAACACAGTGGTGTTTCAGTTTATACCTCCCTGAGATTTACAGACTGTTATTTAATTGCCTTTATTAAAGGTTGCCATACTGACTAATAGAGGAATAAGTATACTTCTAGGCAGCAACCTTCAGCATTACATATGAGAATTAGCTTTCGACCAGCATACCTGCACCACAGCCTTCCACACCTAGTAACTCTTACCCTGCAAAGCCAGAAGCAAGGCAAAGCAGTCTGTCATTCAGAACCTGCCTGGGTTTTCAGGAATGCCAACCAAATACCTCACCAAAACCTTGCAAGCTCATTACATTAGCCAAACAACCCAAACTTGATCAACATAACCAGCCTTCTTATCTTCAGGGGAACAAAGGACCCACATTGCAGTGGCAGCTGGTGGTTGTTTCAGACACTGAACACCTCATGAGAATTACACCAAAAGCACTGAATGTGCTGCTCAGCTTCCTGAGCCACCACTCCTGCTTCCCATTTATAGCATTCAGAAGAAAGAGTACGTACAGTTTTATTTCGTAACCGAATAATATCAGACACGGATCCAGCGCCGCAGTATTCCATGACGATCCACAGGTCTGTGTTCTTGAAGTAGCTGCCGTAATATTTCACCACATGAGGGCTATGAAACGTGACAAAATGAGAACAAAGGGTCAAATACTGGAGAACAGCACAACTGAATAAGCAAAGGCAAACAATACTGCAGCCTCCCTAAGCAGGTTCTAAAAATTCAGACGTGGAAGTGCCACTGAAGCCCTGACCAAGTGTTTTGCACCAGCCTGAGTCTGCAGCGAGCAACCACAGTCCTGCAAGCCTGTCCTAGCAGTGGTGTCCATGTGACCTGTCACAACAGCAGTTCAGGGAGCTAAAACGTCTGAAAGTAAATCCTGCAGAAACAAGGAGAGATTAGCTTTCAGTCTGCTTTTGCTTCCTGAACTGTGGCAATCAAGTAGGCAGGACATCAATGGAATGAAAAACGGACCTTGGCAAGATCCTGGTAAAGCTGCTACAGAGTGTCTGAAACCAAACAGAAAGATTAAATAAGGTCAAAAGCTGGAAAATAACCGCTGTGGTGATTATGAGGAAAATGGTCAGAACGACCATTTATCCTTTGGGAAAGGTAAAGCAAAACGGCTAAGAGAGAGAACCCTTCTGATTTAATGAGGACAAAGCTAAAGAACAGAAGTGCACTTAACCTAAGGTCTGCCAAATACTTTCTAATGAAGAAGTTCAAGACGAGCAACACTGAGAAGCAGATCACACCCCAGTGTATTCCTTAATGTTTGAGAAGAAAATCTTATGCTCTGTTGATTCACACAGTACGACTTCACAAGACTAAATTTGTTAGAAGTTTCATTCTCTGAGCTGCCACCAATTATCTTCGCTTAACAATAGTGAGAGTGAAGAGCAATAGAGTGAATCACTAGGAACATAGTTTTATATTGCTAATGTCATTTGTTTTAAATGGTTTTCTATGCCTAAACTCCCTCAAAATAGCATTTCTTGAGGCTGGACTCAAACCACAGGAAGAAATTTGTATGTTTTATGCTTCAGTCACCGACACAAGGTCTTCTGCAGCCCTTGCCCTTGTCCAGCTGAGTTCATAAAATGACTTTTTCCATAAGAAACATGCAGACAACCAAAGAGCCAAACATCAGCCCATAAGTTATTCTCAGCATGCTAACATCAGCAGACAGCTTGTCACGCACTGCAACCTGCACTGTAAGTACAATTCTGCCACCTAAAGCAGATGACAGCACGTACACTGCGCACATGCAAGAGCAGTCATGCATTAGCAGCTCTCATCCACATACCCCTTGAAAACCCAATAAACCAAAAAAATCTCTCTCCTAGCGTTTTCATATCCCAAAGCTTGTGTGCAATTCACTGCCCCTTTGGACAAGGGAACTGGTCTAACACACAACCTCATCACTGCTGCCCAGAAGTTAAGGTGCATCAGGAGCACTGCAGGAGCTGCTCACACGCTTTGCTCTGTGCTGGCAGCAGGTGCAAGGTTATTTCACTTAGTCAGCTTAATGCTCTCACATTGCAAGCTAAATTGTTGTTGTCTTACCTTCACTTGGGTTAACACTACCCAAACATGACTCAGCTGATACGGGGTAACTTGACTGTACAAGTCCAGCCTTTCAAAAAACATTGAAGGCAACATCATCGCTTTTATGTGACTACATGCCAGATCACAGTCAATACTTTCTTTGCATACTGATGATGGGTTTTGCAGTACACATTTACCTGTCACACTGCTGCATTATGGATATCTCCTTTATAATCTCTTGCAGGTCAGACTCCACAGGAACCTGTTTGATTGCAACCACCTGACCCGTCTCTTTATGAATAGCTTTGAACACACTGCCATAGGAACTGGGAACAAAATATTAAACAAATAGTGAATACAATAATATTTTTAGAACACAAAAAGCATGATAATTGCAATTGCAGACTTGAGAGGAAAAAACAAATCACCCTCCTGCTAAGAGAATTTTTCAATTTATTTACATAATCAACCCACAGCTTGCATACGCTGTAACAACCAGCAGCATGCTGAGATGGTCAGAAAGGAGCCAACCACCATTACGTGCCCACAGCTTTGGAAGAATCCAATAAAGCCAGTTCTCTCCTTCTCTGGCACACGGTACTGCTGAGCAACGGTAAAAACCACAGCTCAGGTCAGAAAGCTTTGCTCACTCATCAGGCACTGTTTACTTTATTTCCACCTTCTTACAGCAGCTAGGAAGAATTCCCACTCTGTTTTATAAACGAAGTGCTTAAGGTGGTAAACATACTATTTAGTGCTCCCAACACAAGTGGCCCTAGGAAACAGAAGCTGCCTGCCATCACACAGACCTCCTGCAGAGGTACTGGGATGAACTGCAATGCCTCGAGTCACTGCAGCTGCTACACTACCACATACTTCTACAGTAATAGGATCATCAAAAGTGAAAAATCAAAGCCCATCGAGCACATATTAGTTACACACATCTGTTCTTTGATAAATGTACTTAAGGCACATTGTCACATAGCACATACCCTTCTCCAAGCTTCTCCAATACATCAAATACTTCTTCAGGCTGTTTGGTTAAGCTGTCTTCATCCAACTTCTTCAGCTGCCTGTGTACGTAAGAATAGAGAAATTTCACTTAATTTTATGGCAGTTTGGGCTCTGTTGAAACAGAAAAATTAAAAAATGCCATTTAAACTTACAAAAGGCTCAGTATAAAGTAGGTTGCTTATCAAATAAGTTTATTTCCCATCATCAGAAGACCAAACATTAGCGTTATCTAACATCAGAAGAGGAGTGAGAGTTACAGAGCACAGGCTTTGATCACAGACACACATCTACAGTCCTTCTTTGCAGAACACACTAAGGGATCTGCACGCTGGTGGCCAAACCCTAACACAGCACAGCAGCCTCTTGCAGCTACTGACCATACTGCTAATGTTCACAGTTCTGTCTGGAAAGTACATTACACTAAGGGCACGCAGAAGGGAACGCAGGGCATGCAGAGGGGAAGGCAGCCTTGTCTGATGCGTTCCATACATATTGTAAGATGTTTGCTTTGAGGAAGGAGGCAGTACTGCACTAATCTCACTTGTACAGCTTTAATGACATTAGTTTAACCACTGGTTCTGTGCCTAGACAGATACTGCACAAAAGAGGAAGAGCCAGCTGGAGTTGTACTGCGACCCCTCGCTTATCAACCTAATCCCCAGTACAACTTTATGGAGATCCCACACACAGAACAACACGGAAACCAACTACACTTGTTTCAGTTCACTCTGCCATGCTGACAGCTGTTCACCAAGAAACTTCCTACGGCAGCTGAGCGCTGTATCTTTATAAATAAAAGGCACTACATATCCTATAAAGACATGTTGGAGGAGCCTCTGGTTCTGCCCAGAGAACAGAAAGCTGCAGGGAGACCTCAATGCAGCCAAAAGGAGATCATAAACAGAAGGGAAAACAACTCTTTTACATGGGTGAATAGCGACAGGATAAGGGGGGGATGGTTTAAAATGAAAGGAGGGAAGGTTTAGCTCAGATGTCAGGCGCCGGAACGAGCTGCCCGGACTGGGGGGAGGGAGGCAATGCCCCAGCCCTGGGGCCGTTCAAGGCCGGGCCGGTCGAGCCCTGGGCAGCACAGCGGGGGGTTGGAACGCGATGATCGCTGATGTCCCATCCGACCCAAGCCGTTCTATGGCGCTAAGGAAAATGTTACAAGGACAGACGGCACACGTACACTAAAACAGACCACTGTACTGCCAGTAAACACCGCCGCTCCGCACAGACTCGCTACGCTCCTCACTAAACATGCACTTTTCTCCCTTTTTTATCGCCGTGCAGAGGCTCGGCGCACAATGGCTTCCTGCAGCGGAGGAAACGTGCCGGCGAGTCAGGAAGTGGCGAAACGCCGAGCGAAGGAGGCAGCCGCTTCCCGCAGCGCTACCGTCACCCGTACCGTACCGTGCCGTGCTACGCTGTGCCGTGCCGTGTCATGCTATGCTGTGCTGTGCCGTGCCATGCCGTGCCGTGTCACGCTATGCTGTGCTATGCCGTGCCGTCCCGCTTTCACCGCCCCCAGCCCGAGCACAGCGCCGGACGAGAGCGCCGGCACCCACTGCCTCCCGCCCGCCCGGAGCCCCGACCGCCGCCCTCAACCTCAGCCCCGTCCCAGCTCCCCCGCCCCGTCCTCACCGCCGCGGGTTCCTCAGCTGCACCGTCTCCATAGCGCCGCGGACGGCCGCTCCCTGCCCGCCGCCCTCACTCCTCCATCGCGGCCCCGCGCCGTTTCCGCCCGCCGCCGGAAGTCGCCGCCCTCACGCGGCGCCGCGCGGCCCAGGATGGAGAGCGCGGGCAAGCTGCGCCGCGCCGGCAACGATGAGTTCCGCCGCGGGCAGTACGGGGCGGCCGCGGAGCTGTACAGCCGCGCACTGGCGATGCTGGAGGATGCAGGTACCGCGGGGCCGGGCGGGGCGGGGCGGGGCGGGGCGGGGCTCGCCGCACCTCACCTCTGTGTGCCGCGCAGGCGAAGCCGCCGCCGAGGAGCGCAGCGTGCTGCTGGCCAACCGCGCCGCCTGCCAGCTGCGGAACGGCGCCTGCCGGGGCTGTGTCGCCGACTGCTGCGGGTGAGCGAGTCCTTCTGGTCCCCTCTGCAGCGGAAAATAGACCGCTCCCCTGGGGTTGATGGGCATTGAGATCTCGGGAGCGGCTCCAGAGCTGCAGCCCTTCCCTTATGGTTTCCATCCCCGAGGAAAGAATTCCCTTCTTTCCCCCTTTAGTTCGTTACGGTAGGAAATGAGACAGCGGCTCCCAGCCCGTTTCCCACCGTTTGGCACCGCCGTGTGTGAGCACAGACGTGCACTGCTCAGCGCTCACAGGACACGTCCAGTTGCAGGCAGCAGGGAGCTCCCTGAGGCCTCTCTGCCCGCTGTCACCTTCTCTCTCCCCGTCACAGAGCTCTCACCCTGACCCCGTTTGCCATCAAGCCCCTGCTCAGGCGAGCGGCTGCCTATGAGGCCCTGGAGAACTTCGTGCTGGCTTACGTGGACTACAAGACTGCCCTGCAGGTGGACTGCTCCATACAGGCGGCCCACGATGGGGTCAACAGGTAACCCCCACTGCACGCTGCTTTCTGCCTCTGAGTGCTGCAGTCTGCTTTGCTGCTCCAGGCTGCCCAGAGATTGTGGGTGCTCCATCTCTGGAGGTGCCCAATGCTAGGTTGGATGGGGCCCTGGGCGTGTGGTAGGGGGCAGCCAGCCCACGGCAGGGGTTGGAAGTGGATCAGCTTTAAGGTCTCTTCCAACCCCAGCCTATGGATCAGAGCCCTGTTTTGTTTCTGCAGCGGTGTCAGAAGCGTGCTGTGTCCTGAGCACGTTAACAAGATGGCTGAGGCTCTGATGCTTTGTGCAGAGGGCAGGCTGGGTCATGCTCCCTGCATGTGCTAATGCCCTCAGCTCCTTTCAGGCTGCTGGCACATGATGGAGGCCTGGGAATGATTTCTTGCTTTGCCCAGTACTTATTTTAAAAGAAAAATAATTTACAAGTTCTGGTGTCCTGTGCATTGTGCCCCCCATGCAGATGGGATTGCAGACTGCTGAAGTCATTTTCTCTTCTTGGAGGCGTCCAATTCACTGCACTGCTTGCTGAGGAGTGACAAACATCCCCTGCCCAGCTGAGCACTAACAGTCCCAGCCATTGTCTAGTGGTATTTTTGGCCCTGCTAACATGAAGACACACTTTTCCTTAACACCCTGTCTGTAGTTGAGATGTGTGTAAAGTTTTCAGTGACAAGAGGAGGTCCTCAGCATGAGTCAGGTTAAAAAGTAGTCCCCCCAGCTCCTATGCTATCAACCAGCAGGAGTGCAACCACCAGCCATCTCTTCCAGGATGACCAAAGCTCTGCTGGAGAAGCACGGGGCGAACTGGCGCAAGAAGCTCCCACCCATCCCCAGAGTCCCCATTGATGCCCAGAGAAGATGGAGTGTTCCTTCTGCAGGAGCCCCCACAGGAGATACTCCCCCTGGAAACACACCACAGGGTGACCCAGGTGAGAGCCCTTCAGCTCAGCAGGGCTGCAGACTGCGAGGCAGGCTGCCGTGCCTGCATGGTGTCTGTAGCTGGGTCTGAGAGCTGCAGGAACATGGGCTGGCCGCTCATTCTGGATCCTTTGATCTGCATCTTGCCTCTGGGATGGGGCTGTTTGCCTTCTGAGAGGCTGGTCTGATCTTATCGCTTCTATATGTTCTGTATTTTTTTTTGCACTGCTTCCAGCCCAGACTGCTGCTGGCACAGAGAGAGCTCGAACGCTTAAGGAAGAAGGAAATGAACTCGTAAAGAAAGGAAACCATAAAAAGGCAATTGAGAAGTACAGTGAGAGTTTAAAGCTCAGCCAGGAATGTGCAACTTACACCAACAGGTATTGCCCAAGTGCTTTTTGGCATTTTATAAAAGCCACTTTGGAACTTCTGACACAGCTGTCTGGTGGTTTTTCCAGACAACTGAATTTAAAAAAAACAAACAACAAAACACCCACACATTTCCCCCAAGTACAATCTGCCCTGTACTTTGTATAATGTTCTTTGATCAGATTCTGCAACAAGCCCTACAGCCACTCAGCCTAGGACTGCTAAAGGCTTCATCCCTTTAATGCTTGTCTGCCAGGACTGTATCATTTTGTTATTTGTCTGCTGCCCCACGAGCCACAAATTGCACTCTGCTGTACTCAGAGTGCACTTCTGAGATGAGCAGAGCATGTTCCAGAGTGGCAGAGCAAGGAGCACGTTGCTCTAAAAATGCTGGGTTGTTTTTTTTTTTGCAGACTGATAAACTGTTTGCTATTTTTTGCTCTTTTTAACTTAAGCATTGAGCTCTGATCAATGATTCCTTAGCATACTCCCTGGTTTGGGAGTCCAGCTTTGTGCTGTGGCTAGTTCTGTGCATTGCAGCCGTAAATACTGCTTTTAACCAAAGGATTCTAACCAGGTGTCTGTATTGCAGAGCTCTCTGTTACTTGACTCTGAAGCAACACAAGGAAGCAGTGCAGGACTGCACAGAAGCTCTGCGATTAGATCCTAAAAACGTTAAGGCATTCTACAGACGTGCTCAGGCACTTAAAGAACTGAAGGTAAGTCAGGAGTTTTCGACCAGTTTTCAGGTAGGAGCCTGCTAATGCTTTTCAGCACGTTTTAGAACAGCTACACTGATTCTGGTGCTCAAAAGCAGCTCAAAAAACAGTCCCAGGCTGTTGTGTTGCCTTGCCTCTGTCACTGGGTGTAGTTCTCCAGCAGGAGACTTAGACTGCATTTTCAGTGCACTAACACTTACAAATTCTTTTTCTAGGATTACAAATCAAGTATTGCTGACATCAACAGCTTGTTAAAAATTGAACCAAAGAACACAGCTGCACTGAGACTACTGCAAGAATTGAACAGAGCCTAGGGTAACCAAGCAACAAGGAAAGCTTTTTCTGCTGCAGAAGGAAGTTTCTCCCTTCTGATGCTGCAGGGACCAATCTGAATGCAGGATTGGTACTGAGATCTATCTTTAATTGCTGCTGAGATGTGGTGCATTCTGTGCCACCACAATGAACGTTGTTAGTTGTTTGATATACAGTTTGTGTATCTGGCTTTAAGATTATGCAAAGTTTTCATGCACTTGCCTGAGAAGGAGGCATATGGGTGAACTTCCCTGGTTGAAGTCAATGTGCCTGTACCTGCTGGCCTCAGGGACTTTATCCACTTGGCCAAGATGCACACAAAGTGCTGCTCTTTCTGAGAAGTTACAAACTGAGAGTTTTCTTAGTCCTTATTCAGGTGACAGTTGTGCTTCATTTGTGCTGCTATTAAGTAGGGTTGCTAAAGGAGTGCTGCAAGAAATGCTGCAGTTGCCTGAGCACTGCATACCACTCTTAAAACCAAGTCATTGTTACATGCACAGGGCTGAGCACATTCCCTCTCCTCCCTGACACCTGCCGGCCTTCAGCTGAGTTTCTGCTGCATGGTGTGACTGGGCAGGTGTTTACAGCAGCAACTTTCTTTCTTTTATCTTTAATTATTCAGCACTTATAAGAAAACCAACAGCAACTTCAGCCTGCCTTGGTCTGCTGTGCACTATGTCACAGTACAGGTGCTTGGGCACTTTGCAGCTTGTTTTTTGGTCAGTTTTTGTTCTGTTAAAAGTTGAGCTTCTCTGTGCCTTCTGGAACAGTTGCTACAGGGTGTTACAGGGACATCCCAATGGAGGGCTGGCTTACTACTTCCATGTATGTTTATTCTTCTTGATCTATTTTTTCCTGTGGTACTGATGGCACTGAGTTAAAATGGTAGATTAAGAAACAGTTGGAGTTATTCTGTGATCTGTTGGAAGTGTTCACATTAAAATGATGTTTATTTTCACTCTTGGAGTATTTTTTGTATGGGATGGAAGGCATGGGGGAACTGGGACACTTTCATGCTGCTTTATTTCATTCTGTTGCTGCTTTTTTAGTCATGATGCTGGACAACACTAGATGTGATCTAACAGCTTACAGTAATGATCCCAGCTGTTAGTACTCCAGGCAGATGCTCCACTGAACTGAATTCAGAAGGCAGACATTACTAATGCTGTTACACTCCTGTAAGACAAAGACTTATCTTGGCCTGACATTAAGGAGCTCTTTGTAAGTCCCAGAGTTATACTCCCTCAGCTGCAATACCACCAGGGTTTGAAACACCTCCCCCCAGGGCAAATTTTGCTTCCTTAAATCCCCACCCTCTACCACTATAACTCCATTGACCCTGCACCCACCTTTCCCCAGGCTGTTACAAGGTAAGCATGATGGACTTCAGGATGTGAAGCACAGGCCAGCCATACACAGATAAGCAGAGGAATGTCTCTGAACACAGGAGGAATCTTATTTAAGAGCCTGCTCTCAAATAAGAGCTCTCCTTTTAACATCCCTGTGTTATCAAGGCTGGCAGACACCTGCACTGTTCCCACTACAATTCGTTACAGTGCTTCTAAGCAGCAGCAGTCGTTATCTCTTCCCCCCTGTCTGAACACAGCAATGCCTTTTTGCTGTCTTATCTCTAAGACCTTCCCCAGTAAAGTGCAATACCACCAAGCAGACACAGACCAAACACAGCAAAATGATGCCATGCTTCAAGCCCAGGTCTCTTCTGCTCCTCTCCTCCTCTTTTGTTCCAGCAACCGTGCTGCTGACTGCACAAAGTATTTTCCAGGCAGGCAAAGATGTTGCAACCCACACGGGCAGTTGGAAGGTGCTTTTCACAGAGGCTCTCC